GTATAATTGTATTTCCTTAGTATCATTTACCTAAGTTCAAAATGTGTAATTCATTTAGTGTTTTATAAATTGTTGTTTTGAAGCAGTGCCAGAAATGAGAACAAAAGTCCGAATTACCATAATATTGTTTTTGATATGGAGCACACATATAAATGGAGGGAACCAAATCGAAACATAATTCAAACTCATTATAAATAGCAGCTTAACACTGAAATGTGCTGATATGAAAAAAAATAAGTACAGGATTAATTATAGAGAAAAATAAAGTGAACGCATGCAATAAAGTAATTAGTTGTGAACTTGTTCATAGAAAAAAGAATGTTTACCCTGTTCAGAGACAGATTTAAGATCTACTTATAATTAAAAAAATCCTTCTAATAGTACTAAAGGACATTAAAAATTCGTGCAAAATATTTAATCAAATGATAGGGTTCAAAATACAGGAAACTGCATGTACTTTCATTGCAGAGCCATGTGCTTCACCAGTTCTTAGATATAAAAGCTATATAAAGATATATCTCAGAAGATATAGCTTCTGAGCTATAGAATGGCACTGGCCTCACTATCTGCTCTATGCTAGTTTTCCTGTAACGGATTGGATTTGGTAATGAAACCCTTCCAGGCTGTTTTTGAGCACAAATGCCCCTTGCACCAAATGGAAATCAACTTTTCACATGATCAAACGTCATCAGGACAACAAATTACTGTGACAAATAATCACCTTTTCTGCTTCAAGTCTCCATCTTTGGAGACCTTTGGTGTAGAATTTATGGGAAATCTAAATGAAAAGGAAATGTAGAATTATACCAAAGGTTAGGTGTCAAGTATACATATCCTATAAGAGACCATGTTGCCAGGCTAATAGGGAAAATGCAGCAAGGTAAATTAAACGTTTCAAAGTTTTCAAAAGGCATGTAGCTCTTGGCTTTCTTGTTAGACCAGTGTTTGCTTTAGCAAATTACTGAAATTTGCCACAGTCCAAAGATGCTCTTCCCTTTAAGATTGTGTGCAAAACGTTCATCAATGCAATCCCAAACTCACTGCTCTAAGCTGGATCACGAAGATATTTCAAAGCATTAAACAGAGTGAGAGTCCAAGGGTCATGGCCTTATCTCTGATCTCTCATTTGAGCAAGAGGGTGGTAAAGGCTATTCCAAAAAGTTCATGGAGCCAGTTGTCTGTACAGAGAGAGATGAGAAATGGTCTCTAAGCACAGAAAGAGCAGTCATTCCTGAACTTTTTTGTTCCAAAAAGGATTGAATTTTTTTTGCACTCATCTGTGTACTTTATATACATATATGTGTTTCAGGAACAGATGAGAACCCTCTTATATGAGATAATTTTTGTTTTTCTTCCTTGTTGTATTTTATCCATGAGACTTCCCTCTCCCTTTCCCTTTCCCTTCCCTCACATTTAACTTCAGGCCAAAGCCAAGACCCACTGATTAGATGGAGTGTTTTTGTGGGTTTCAGAGACACCATTTTTCAAAAGTCCTTAAGACAGCACCACTTACAGAGAGTGTTCTGGATCCTTTATGTTGTTACATGGTGGTAAATTTTATAATCTACTGCTGCATAGGGTGCTAATAAATGCCTCTCTAATAGGTGAATACTTTTATTCCTAAAATGTTGATTACTCTAAGTAATTCAGAAATCTTAATGAATAGTTATGTATAAGGAACTAATTTTGAAAATGAGCCTTTGGAGTGCATGAAAACAAAAAGAAATGCAGTTTGCTTAAGAGGTCCTGATGAGATCAAAGAAGTCCAAAAGAAAATGGAACTCTTGGACTTGACAAGAGTAATTTTGCAAAGTGTGAGCAGATATGACTCTCAAAAAGAGTAAGCATCCAAATAAGAGGCATTTAATCTTACAATAAAACAGTGCTTGAAGCATTTGCAAACATTCATCACATTCTTTCAGTATGGGCAAGGAATATTTTAACCTGGATTGTCACTATCCTTTCTGGCAGAATTCAACATATGAATACAAATGGCTTCTCCACCTAGCTGGGTAAGAGTAACAGATTTGAGATGCCTTTGCACCCACTCCTGGCTTAAAAAGAACACAGCTGATGGAGAGGTTACAGGCTGCTTTGGGTATGATGTTTCTTGTGGCAATAGTTAAATTAAAAATTTTGACTGATATGATGTCCTGGTTGATATGCTACAGTTCAGATCTTTATTCTTGTGCATTTCTTCCCTGTGTTCACTTCTTCTTGGGAATTTATTTATTTATTTATTTTTTGAGCTCAGTCATATCCTTTTGCTCACAGGCTTTCAGTAAGCTTCTTATTTTCGCTTGTCCTTGAAGTAAAAACTTCAGTATTTCAGAAGTTCTACAGTGTTTCTACTGTCCTGTTAAACTTCAGGTTCTGGGGAGGTTGACCTTTATATTTTGGGTGGGGTTTTTTTGGTAAAAATGTAAGCCTTCCTTTTCTGTATGATTTTTTTAAATTTTCCCCAGAGTGTCTGAGAAAAATCTTCCAAACAGCTTCAGGCTTCTTACTCTTTCCTTTCAACTCTGTACACAACACATACAAAAGTTTCTGTTTCATTATTTTTTTCCCTCTGTGGAAATAAAGCCTTCAGAAATACTGCCTTTCTTTTTGCTTGCCATCTAGTCGTCTTAGTCTTTCATTTTAAGTATCCAGGTAGAGCTGAGTTTAATGGAAATGTCTATTTTTCTTCATTTGCTTTCAGATAAAACTTGATTATCTCATGACGTCTTGCATTAAAATTTGAACAATAAAGGATGATGCTGCCTACACACTGAGCACTGTGTGTGCTAAGGTAGATGCCTAAGGATTTGATGTGTCTGGTGGGCAAACCTTTCTGAGATCCTCATGCAGGTCACATACGTTCTCCTGTCCCCAGCTCAGAAAGCATTCTAGGAAACTTCACATGGTAGGAACTCAGCAATGCTGCAGGAGTGTGATTAGACTTGTGAGTCCTATATTGGTAAAAGTGATCTTTTAATTGCTGGTTTTAATTCAGAAATTACACTGCAAAGCATTGCACCAGATGTTTTAGACTGTGAGATTAGGAGAGGAACATTTGAACTGCCAACTACAGAAATAAAAATGGTTCACTCTTATGCCTGTAGTTCTACAGAAAACAGTATATTATTAATTTCACATTGCCATGCTGACTCCGGTGCACATAAATTCTCACTTATAATATCACTAATGAGAATCAGCACATAGACACAGACAGTTAGTTATCCCATATTACCTTCCTCAGGAGAGTGGATTTTGGCAAGTGAGTACACCTAAAAATATTCTGTGGTAAACACCTGGTGTTGTGAAAAGTGATCTGCTCCATAAAGTGTAAGTTGTTATTTTTTGTCATGTCACTTTCTTGGTTGGTGATCAGCTGCCAAAGATTGAAGTGACTTCTGTGGGATGTCAGGGGAGGCAGTCTGGTTGAACAGGGTGCTCTGCTTTTCTTCCATTGCTATGATTCAGGAAAGCAGTGGCTGTAACACAAAGTTCAGAAAATGCTTCTGGTGGTCAGACAACCATTTTCTCTAGAAAGGGCAGTGAGTGATGGATGAAACTGCAGTAAACCCCAAGTTCATGCAGCTCCCAGCAAAAGGAACTCCAGAGCCTGACAATTTCTGTCTAGGGTCATGAAAGATGTTTTCAGTGCTTTATGTAGGCCTTTAGTCCTAAATGTCCTGGCTTTGTGCTCGGTGAGCCCATAATGGATAGCACAGGGTTTAACTTCCCTCTGCGATTCCTCCTCACTGTGTCTGGTTGCATTGCAGACTTTGCTTCACGTATCGTTTCAGAGCATTCTCAGGCATCCAAGCTGGTGACACCCAGGCAGTCAGAACTCCAGCTTACTCAGAAATTCACTGGGAGCCCCATTATTGGTAATGCTTCATATATGTTCAATATTCTGAAAGTGGTGAATCATGGTTTCAGTACGGAGGAAGTGGGATAAACTTAACAGGTAGAGAGGAAGTACTGGAAATTCTGGAGTTTTCATGTAAGTATTCAACACATTTTGGATCCAAAATTAATAGCTAATAATGAAATTATTTAACCATTCATTTGAAGTAAAATTTTTTGAATACTGCAATATTTCTAAAACACTAAACGAGTAAAGAATTTTATTCAGATATTGGAATTTTTGAGAAAGGAAAACAACTTTCAGTGCAGCCACTTTGGAAAACATAGTAAAAAATAAATAAATCATATTATCAGTGAAAAAAAAGAAATAATCCTGAAGGAACATTTAATATTTCCTTATATATATATATATATATACAAAGAAATGACCCATACTGCTTTAATCTGGGGTGGGATTGGTTTCAGTTGGCTCCAGTGATGGATCAGGATGCAATTATTTGTGACAGATATGAATTTCTTGTAGGTATTTTATACAAAAACACAGAGAAGTGACAAGAAACCAAATAGGTATTTGGACCACAGCGGAAGTTTAATCTAGCTTTGAAACACGTTTAGTTCTGTAGGAGTGTACTGCACTCGTCCCTGAATGAGATTCAGAAATAAAATAAACAGATTATGATATCACCACAATAAGCATGACAAATGCTCCAATTTGAACAGGAATCCTGTCTGAATGTTAAAAATCCCCTTCCAGGTATTGCCTCTTGATTTCTAATTTCCTAACCATATTCATTATGAAAAATATATGAGATATCAGTGAGTCCATATTTTAATAAACAGGAAAAGCATCCAATTAAAATTCTCTGAGAGAAAGTATTTTTACTACAAACACTAAGACATGTGTGTGTGCATCCGCATATACCCTTTCTCCATTGCAAAACTTTTGGGTCTGATTTGGGTCTCTCTCCAGTAAAAACTCTTCATGGGGGTCCTTACCAATATTGTGTTTTGTCAGGTGCTCATAGGAGTATTTACTGCACCATCTCTGTAGACCAAGCAGAACTAGTCTGAAAAATTGAGTTCAGTGTAACACGGTGAAATTTAGAGATATTTTCTGACAGCAATTTTTTTTACATGATATGCAGGTGAAAAATGGATTGATTTTCATCAGGTCTCAAATGTATATAACCTGGTCTTCTTCCAGCTCAAGAATGATGATCACTCATAAACCTTCACAGAGAAATAGGAAGAGGAGGTAACATAAAGAAAATAGAAATATATTTTGCATTTTGATTAAGTTTATTTGAAAGGCATTATATATGACATTAAAGTACTTGTTAACGTTCTCAAAGACATTGCTGACATGCATGATTAGTGATTGTAGCATCAAAGTCTCCTTAATCTGAGTATGTTTGTTATTTTTTAATATGCATATTTACCTTGCTGAGATTTTCCATTTGTAAATTGTTTTTACACTTTCATATTTTGTGAAACTATTCCATGGCTTGAGTCTGAGGTAGAGCTCTTATTTTGATCCACTGTTGCTTGCTCACTGTAATTTTAAACACTATCTTTTTCCTTGTTTATAATACCTTTTTCCTATAAAATAGCTGTCTTTAACCAGAAGGTTCTACAGAAGCTGGGAAATTTTAATGAACATTTGAACTGTGATACTCTGGCTGATGGCTTGGAGTTTGAGCTGGACTGCATGATCTTCTTTATGGTAAGATGAGTTCTAAAACCTAATTCATTATTTTTTAACATACTGTGATTAAAGATTTTGGAAGATTTCTCTTAAGATTAGTTGCATATACCTGGTTATCCTGTGCAAAATTTAGCAGAGTCACACAAACCACTTTTTTTGGCTAAGTTCATATGGTACACCAAATAATACCTTTGTGTATACACTGCATAACTTGTATTTTCATTTGTAAATATACTTTGATTAGCTATTTATTGGAAGATTGAGATTTGGTGGACCTAGAAAGAAAATAAGATGATTCTAACATAAAAGTAAATTGTAGGACTTATTTATTAAAAACTGTAAACTTATTTATCAAAAAAAACCAAAAAGTTATTTATAATTGGAAGTGATCAGTGTGCTTCATGTAATCTGACAGTAAATGCCTCCACACCCAGAGGGCTACTTAAGTTCAAAATCAATTTGGTAATCTTCCAGGTGGAAATTGCAATAAATTAAGGTCATTTCTCCAAGCAATGACAAAAACACTAAGTAATAGAGCTCCTTCCTTTATGTTGAATCACATAAGTAGAATTAGAGCCTATTTAATTACGTCTATTGTTGAATGTTTTGATCAGGCATTTAAATACCTGCTTCAGGACTCACAATCATATTTCTCCTTGCTAAGCTAGAAACATTAAACCCCCAAGCAATCAGAGCAGGCATATCTGTTCTGCACAAAAGGATGTAGGAGAAAACTGCCAAACAAGTAAAGCTACAAAGGGAGGGGATAAAAAGGGGACAAAAAAAGGCCAAGGCCTACATATTGTGGGTTTTTGCATTTCATTTAAAATATATGTTTTAAATAAAATATATGTCTATTTTTATACCTTGCCATTACAGTCTGTGGTTTGTTTTGGTTTTGTTGTTTGTTTTGGTTTTTTTCCCAAAAGGTATAAAGGCCTAGGAAATAAGGGCAAGTAGGAATTTTCTCTTCTCATTTGTGCACATCTCCATGTAATTTTGCAAGATATGCCATATCTCCAAAGGGGAGGCTGATAATTGCAAAATACTTTGTGGGACAACACAGCTAGATTGTCTCTATCTTCTCTGAACTCCAGAAATGACATTAGGTAAGTACTCTCATCTTCTAATTTGACCACATGGGAAAAAATCCTTTCGGTACTCAGAATTTGCTTCTTGGTACTTTTCCTTGGTGGCATCTTTAACCAAACATCTAATTTATTCAGTTTCACAAAAGAGATTTTTGGAAATAAAGGTGCAGTCCTCAAGCATCTGCAGTCTTTCATATGTTTTGCGTGTGTCAGTCATGGTAGCCTGACTATGACTTTTTGACTTTTGAGATTTGTTCAGGTTCTTTCATAGTGGGACTGCACTAAGAGAGATGATGCAACTTGAGGCCACCATGTCCCCTCTAAAAGAACAGACTAAAAATTTTTGGGGGAATTCTTTGCTTTCCATTTACTCAGTAACTTAGTTTTGTACTCCCCAGTCCCTTGCTTTCCTTGCATTTTTATCTGGAAAGCAAAGAAGCAAAGAAACTTAGTTTTGTACTCCCCAGTCCCTTGCTTTCCTTGCTTTTTTAAGGCAATAAGAATAGAAATTTTATTCTTTTGGGGCTTGGAGAGGTCAAAAGGAAAGAGAGCACTATGCTGACTGGATGAAATTGTATAGAATTCATTCAGGCTATTGGGTCTTATGAGCAATAGACACAAAATTTGCAAACATATGTGAAATTCATGTTTTTCATGTTTAAACTCTTTGGCCTATTCGGGTAAACTGACATGCAATAAGTTGACTCAAAAAATGCAAAGAAGGACTACATTCAGATGGATTAGTGGAAAAGCCTGTGCAAACTGTAGTTGATGTTGACAAGTGAACTATTGAGTCTGTGTTTTATTGAATTTTGTTCAGTTAAATAATGTATGAAAGTGACAGAAGGAAATGTATTAAACTTATACATATGGATGTTACAGTCATGCATGAGCATTTTGGACATAAAAAGCTACTTAATCATCTTTCTCAGATAATAATGTTTGATGTTGTTCTCAGAAGTACTTTAAATATAAGCAGATAGTATTAATAAAGCAAAGGAATTGAATTTTAACAGGAATTTTGGTCGTTCATGAATATTCATCTAGGTAACTTCTGCCTTTGGACTAGACACCCATGATTTTCAATTCCAGCATAGCATGACTGTAGTCCTGAGTAGTCAATTAAAATCTTATTATTCATAACAATAGATGAATAAACCAAGACCTCCTACATAGATACAAGCCTATATTGTAAGAGACATTCAATTTCATGTAGACAAAATTGGAAGTTTCTGAACAGTAATTATGCTTTTGCAATGTGTTATAATTGGACAAATAAGGTTGAAAACGCTTTTCCTTTTATATTCTGTAGAACAGTGTTGAGTGAGATATGCTAAAAATACATGAAATCAATTTCTCTTGCTTATTTCACATGGCATTTTATGTTCCATTGCACATTTATAATTAGACTTTGGGAGTATGCAAATGGTACAATGAGTGACAAAATGCTAAATTTTTAAAAACATATTATTATAGTAATGTTTAAAAACTTTTTAAAAAATCTATACTTCTACTATGTCATTATCAGTGAGTGAATTGTGGGGGTTTCAGAAAATGGAGGAAAAATGCAAAATCTATTCATTGTAGAAAGATTATAAAGGACTCTACAATTACTTAATCCTTGCTTAAGGGTTTGTAAATTCACTCTGTATTTTATCTCACTGGTGAGGTATTTCTTCATTGAAAGAAGAAAGTTTGGCCATTGGCTTCAGCAGAAGCCGAAATTTTTACCCATAAAGTGCAGAGTATTGTAGACATTTCACTTATTTTCTCAATAGGGTGCTTATTATAAGGTATTAGAGAAGGTTCTCCAGGTCTGTACTCAAATAAATTCCATCCCATCAATATTGAACATCATAATGCCATTCTGGGTTCCAGCAGCTAAATTCTCCTTTAGGAAGGATTGAGTGAATATATTCAAGTAACAAGAATTTAAAAATGCTGTGTTTTGGAATCCATTTCAAACACAGATGTACTCACTCAAAGCTCTTTTCAGATTCAACCCAACTCCCCTTATCTGGCTGAGTGGTCCCACTTACCTGGAAATTTCCACAGGGATTCACATGATTTGTGAATGTCCTGTCTTGTCTCTCATGTGTTTTTTATGTGAGTGGTGCTACTTAGTGTGAATCTCATTACTCACCAGCTGGCACCTGAGTAGAAATGTTCAGAAACACTAACATACATGTCAAAACAGGTTTTGTTTTAAGATGCATGTAAATTAGTAATACTGTTTAACTGAAGACTCTGTCGTCTTGAGGCATATTGTTTTACAATTGAAAAGGTTATGTTTTGTGTTTCTGCATACATAGCACAGAACAGTCTCCTCTAACAAGCTAATTTGAAAGCTAGCTAAATATAATGAGATTGTAGATTTCTTGATAATGAACTGTGCTTTGCTGTGAGACTACTCTTTTTCTTATCCTGAGATAGAAAATAATGCATGCTTGAATTTAAGAAAATGCTTTATAGTGTGGTCAGTAGGCATGGTTCACTTAATCCCACTTTAATTTAAATGAGGGCTGGAAGGGCTCCTGTATTGATTGTATAGAAAGCTAAAATATAAACAAATTATTAAAAGGAGCATTTGCTTATTAAGTAGTGGTGATCTGAAACCCACTATCACCTGCCTGAATGGTTGGTTTAGTTTCAAAGTTGCAGATCATAGAGATGATTTTAAAATTCTGGCAATAAAATAAAGGAAAGGTTAGAACATTTGTTGCACTTTCTCCCTCCTTTCAGTGTTTCATTATTAAAGTGCTCCTGACAGAAGCAGCTTTAGGTTCTATGGATACACCTCCTTTAGGACAGACATTTTCAGTCTTGACAGGCAGGGAAAAAAATTTAAAAGTATTAGAAGATCTCAGACAGAGCTTAATACCCCTGCCAACCCTGCATGCCATAACACATAAAACTGATGCTTCACTTTAACTATCTGTTAGTGTTTCTATTACAACAGCATCTCATTGTACCCCATTGTACAGTACAATCCTTCCTCCAACAGCTTGTGATCTTATGATCTTTTTCAATGGATCCCAGTAACCAAATGGAGCATATAGAAAAGCCCAAAGAAAAGCCCATAACATCTGAACTCATAGACCTTTTAATTTCAGAATTGTTGAAGCAATAAACTGTGCTAGCAGCAATAGGGAAGAAAAATTTCAGGTTCCTTTTGTTAGTTCCTAACAAGGACCCACCCCATTCAGCAGTGCCTAGTGTGCCAACCAGCAGACTAGGTCAGAGTACTTTATGCAATTTCATTATAAGCCCTGCTATTGGGAAATTTATAAGACTGCTATAAAACTTCACTGAAGGCTGATCAGTGCCAAAGAACATTCCTTTTCCACTCAAAAATAGCGTGGCTACTGTTGATAAATGATAGGGTTGCAAAAGTGGAGACAGAGAGAAATTTGCAAAGGCATAAATTGGGGTTTGACACCCATTCTCTCTTTCTTGGAATAGCAGCCAATAAATTCAAAACAAGGAGAAGAAAAAACTGTTACACAATTCCTGTGTAATGAAGCATAAATTTTGATTAATAGCTGGAAGTAACAGTGGAAATTTCCCTGCATAATTCAACCCCTGCCCCCAAACAGGAAATTCCGATTCCAACTCTGTCTTCCTAAACTTGTAATTAGATTTTGGATCATGCTTTTTTGGTGATTGAAACTTTAAAAGGACAAGTGTGCTAGAGTTTCAAAATTATCTTCTATAACTTTTCCTTCATATAATTTTATACCTGCCCATATTGTCATTTTAACAACTTCCTGCTGTGATAAATTGTAATGACTATCTGTCCATGATCACCTGTCAGCTATAAAATATTGCAATATACATTTTGAAATTGGACAAATTAATCTTTACGAGATAGACTTTTTCACTGTCTTATTTTCTTACACACCTCTGTAATATTTCTTCTTCTAAATATGACTGCCAATTAAAAAAAATTAAACAAGGACAGTTAGAAAAAGGAAATTAAATTTCAGGTTGCCAAAGGACAAAAAGTTTGAGCAATACACACAAAAGACATGGCAAATCAGAGTTCTTCTTACACCTCTATTCTTCAAGGATGTACAGATAATATGTGTTATAAAATCTGTTAATTTCTATTTTAGAATAAATAGTGGGTATGCATGGTATTTTCAAGTATGTATTATCTGGATATGTTTTCTCATTTCCATCAACAACACTGATTTCTAGGAAGGTCTGGTTGGATATAACAGTCTCCCTATAAGCACTCTGCCTCCTCTCCAAAAACAAATTAGTCATGTTCTTTTGCTGCATGTTCTTAACCCAGACACATTAAAAAAAAAAAAAAAAAAAGGTAGCTACCCATGAGAACACAAGGAAAAGGGGATGTTTAGGAAAAGGTGTTTCTGACTATTAGTCTAAAATGAACAATTGAACAATACCTCTATTAACAACTCTGCTGGTTGTAACTTCCTTTCTTTTCTCTGGTGTTTCAACTCTCTGTGATGGAAGATGAAGAGAATGCTGCTTATGGAAGGCAATATAGTAGAAAAGAATGAATGCAGAATGAATATCACTAGTAAAGGGATGAGTGGTAGTAAGTTCTTGGAATACAAGAACTAGAGGATGGGATGCTCTGGCAAATTACCTACATCCTCCTGAGTCCTTAGGTTTTGTTGAAACAGACTGACTTATGGCGTACAGAATATCTACCTTCTCCCTGTAAAATTCTCTGACATTCAAAGAGAAAATTCCATAGATTTGCTTCTGCAGAAGACATAAATTATGTCCGGATAAGTAAAATTTCTTAAAACATCTTCTAGTTGAAGTTAAACCGCTATCCAGGTCAAACTGGGAATTAAAAACAGCCTTGTACCCCCTATTGCAAATGACAGAGTTTAGTACAAAATTCTTAATTAATTTTTGGAAGGAACAAAGGGCCTGTTAGAAATGTGAGGTTATCTTATCTCGTTTAGAATTGTGTTATCTCACTGCTCTCATATATATATTGCTATACATAAGGAATAAAGGAGCAATAACATTTTTGATTTTTCTATACTTATCATTCATCATTATATACTATATCATTCATAATTTCATACATACATTTATACGTATTAAAAAGTATTTTATGTGCTGTGTGTAGAGATGTTTTGTTGTGATGTGGAAAATCTGCTTTTCACACTAGTAAATGGTGGCAGGATTTTTTTTCCCATATGTGATATGGCACTGAAATATTAGGAGTATGATTTTGCAAGAGAATAACAGTTTTAAATATATTACATGTTTAAAATCCCAACTGAACATAATATAACTTTACTAGCTCATTTCTCCTGAGGCATCAACACCATTTATCACTAGTACTTCCATCTGGCATGTCTGAACTATCATGATCAGCATTTTATGGGGAAATGAAAGCATTCAATATGGTCTCTCTTCTCTAATGCTCTTAGGTCAGATACCATACTGCTGCAGGGAGAAAAGATGCATTTTTATCACACACTTGAGAGACATCCATTTGACATACTTTATATTTTCCTAGGCCAAGACCAGCCAAGCTTTTCCTTATTTGCACTGTCCTGGCATGGGGTCATTTGCTATAATAACAATATAAAATTAATGTCAATGCTTTTTATACTGCAATGTTAAAGATTTGGCTCATGCACGCAAATATCTGGGGGCTGAAACCCGAACTCTAGTAAATCTTTTCAAATTTTAGAAAGGCAATGGAATCTCTTGCCCAATATTTTGTCCCCAAGAAAATGCTTTGTGTGGTTTTCCTAGCTGAGGTCTTTTTGAAGAGGTAATAGTTGCTCTTATTTTCTCATGGAGGATCAATGGAATGTCAGCCGGTAACTTAATTAAGTGCTTCTTGTAGTTTGGGTTGAAAACTTGAATTCCATTGAGTAAAAATATTTGGCTGCTCCTTTTCACACCACAAATTCATGAGTTTCTGTCAATTTCTAAGCCTCAGCAAATCATTATTCAAAAAGCAGTGTTAGCACAAATGTGTTTTATCATCAGATCCTTCCCAGCCATTTGTGATCATTTTAAGATGGAGAAAAAATTGTGGAATAAAATTTTAGTCTATAACTTTTCATAGGTCATAGCACAATCCTTAAATTCTTTAGAACTCCTCCTAATAATGTAAACCTACTTACATAATTTCAAACTCCATTTTTCAGTGCAACATTAAAATAAAGACATTCTTTTTATTTACATTATATAAGCCATGAAAATGTACAGGTAAATTTAACGTAATAGGATGTGGTGTAGTTTGCTTGGAGGTTTTGGATAAATTTTATTCTGAGCATTGCCTTTTATTGCCTCATGATTTTTGTTGGTTGGAAATTATTACATTAAGGGAAAGAATCTTCCAAAAGTTACAATTTATATGGTCACCCTCATCTCTCAAATTTCCCTTTCATTCTTTTTTAGTATCACAACTGAACCAAGTCCTGTCAACATCTCCTGCAAAATGGCTAATCAGGTATGTCTTGCACAGGACTGTGGTATTTGTTTTACATGTGTAAGCATGGAATAAGTCAACAAAAAGCAGTTCTTCTTTATCTAAATCCAGGTCCATGTTGTATTAGCGCATAGCTAATAATATCAAATTGGGGCCTGAGCTCAAACACCAGCTCCATAATTGCAGTCTAATGTACCAGAAAATCCAGATGTATATACAAGGAAGACTGGTGATTATTTTAAATTCCTTGTCTCTACCGTGAAACCTGACTTAAGCATACTATTTGAGGGGTTTGAGCAGAGGAAGAACCTCTCTCATCCCAGGTTAACACATATGAGCAACAGGAAAACCATTCCAAACCTACAGGTTCTCTGGTGCAAGTGACCTCTTAGCTGCATTCCAGTCCTCTGGGTGGTGGGGTGGCACATGAGTGACTCCACTCCTGACACGAAATTCTTGTTGGGAGAAAGGAATCCCAAAGAGTGACTCCACTGTCAGTGGGAGCATCCAGGGGACCAGGAGCCTGAAGTAAATATTACACATTCCACCTGTCTAGTGCAGATGGTTTTGATGGTGTCCAAGTTTGACATTTCCCTCTATATTTCACTTCCATATAGTTCAGGTGTTGTATCACTAAGGTCAAAATTCTTCATGTGTCTTCTTGTAAAGGCTGGTCGCTTAGATCAGGAATCCAGTTAGGAAAATTTCCTTTTGAAAGGCAAAGTTTGGAGATGGCTTTGAAAAATATCACACGTCAATTGAGTGCTTAGTGTTGTGCTCAATAGCACACAGATGACATGCCAACCTTGAGGAGAAAATGACAATCATGAAGAACTAAAATCTGCTTAGAACTCTAAATTCAGCTGTGTTCATTCAGCTAGTTCTCTAATACAGACATTTAGTTTGTTTTTCGATAATAGGTAATTCCAGAAGAGAAGCAAAACAGAAAGACCTTTACTGTTATTATGATTTCTGTTAATAGAGTGAAAATTGCTTCTTATATATTAGCATTATAATGCCTGATACAAATATATTTACATTATCACAACTATTCTGCACAATTTTTTAAAACATCCATATCTGTTAATACTGAAAGAGCTAAATAACTTACTGCCTAGTCATTAATACTTCCAAATAGCTTTTCACATTCTCTGGAAACATACATTACAGTATCTCTTGAAGGAATTAAAATTAGCCCAGCTTTGGAGAACTAAACCTAACTGATTAGGACAGCAAAAAGTCCTGAAGGAATGATTATCTACAGGTTTGCAAAATACTGTTGGAAATTTCTAGAAAATAACCAATCACCAAGGTTTTCTCTAGCTTCACATATGCTTTTATACTCTTCCCAAGGGATAAACATATTTTATACACTCTCTAAAGGGAAGAAAGAATGGCTTGACTTATCTATATTTGGGATTTTTTTTTTTTTAAATCTCAGGCTTGGAGTCCTTTGACCTGTCAAAACAAACATGAAAATTCTAAAAATTAGAAATCAGAGTTCCTAAATTTCTAGCATTCCATACAAAAACAGGTGTCTGTGCAACAGCCAGTGACATAACTCTCAAAACTCCTGAAAGGCTTTAGGCATTCAATCAAAAGCAAACACTTATTATAATTAATAAAACCTGGAATTCATTGCAGTAGTTCTTATTTGACAAGAAAAGATTAGTGTAATATTGTTTATGAAACAGTAATTAATCAGTAGAATAACTATCATTTATATACTGATTTTTATTTTTTCCCAATCATTTTATGTGACTTATCTACAGTAATCATTTTACTATGAATGATTGTTTTGAGCTACCATCTCCCTGAAGGCTTTCAAAGTTTTATTTGAAATGTCTCTACCATCCCCCAAGCATACTTACAGAATTTGCATTCTGTTTTGTCTGGGGCTTTTAGACACAAATAAGTAATACAATGAAAAAAACTATGGAAATTTCCACAGAAGAGCATGCCCATTTAAGTGAAAAGTGCTTGTATGTTAAAATCTTTTGTTTAATCTGAGTTCATGTGCCACTTGACTAATAAGATACTAGACATGGACCTATGTCCATTTCTGTAAATCCCCTGTCCTCAGGCAGAACTTGAATGTCAGTTGATGATTGGTGCACTATTACAGCTTTTGACTGGATAGAAATGGAATGTGTCTATAAATCTACCTGTTAAGAAGTCATTAGAGATTAACCAGCAATGTAACTTGGGGTTTTGCTATCCTTAGTTTGGCAATTATATGTCACATTAAAGGCATTTATTAATCCAAATTTCAAATAGCCATCAAGCCATATACTTTTCCACAAGAGCATGAGTCATTAGAGATTAACCAGCAGTGTAACTTGGGGGTTTGCTATCCTTAGTTTGGCAATTATGTCACATTAAAGACATTTATTAATCCAAATTTCAAATAGCCATCAAGCCATATACTTTTCCACGAGAGCATCAACAAGAGCTTATTTTTCACTATTTTATGGTATCTAACCAATGCCCTTATATTGCTCAAAATGTGCACAAACAAGATGAGACAAGCTAAGCAAACTTCTCAGAATTCTAGGACATGGCGTTCACTTTCCACGTGTGCGCTGTCCTTTGTATTACCCTGAATGAAATCCATTATGTCATCACTGGTCAATGAGGCTAGAGGAAGCAGAAGCATTAGCATCACTGAACTGTCAAAAAGCAGACCATCTTGCAAGTGTTGAGGTTGAAGCACAGACGAGAAAATTTTGCACAGGATGACCAGTTTTCCCTAGTAGGGACACACTTGAGATGTGGCCCAAGAGTGTTTCTGGCACCACAGCCTAAAGAAGATCTTCTGCAGAATGTTCAGGGCTCAGCACTTCCTAGGTTTTTATCATGTTTTGGACCAGTATACAGTGGAGAGATGCTACAGCTGAGGAACCACCTCTAAATTCAGTAAAAGCAGGATTCTGCCCATCACTTCACTTCAAAAGTAGTTTTTTTAAATACAGGCAGTATCAATACTAGATTTTATAATTCTCTGGTTTAAAACATCCTACGGCAACTAACGCACAGCACTATCAAAGTGTCTGTAACAAAATGTCACTGCATACCTGCACTTCAAGACGTTTTTACTGGGCTTCTGACTGCTGTCAGTGAAGCTAATACCCTATAATTAAAGCATATTTAGACAAAAAAACCAAAACACAAGATTGCTTGTAGAAGTAAGGTTCTTAATTAATGCACTGGGACAGTTCCCACAGCAAGATGCCATAACTTTCTCCATTATCATGAAAATACTTTGGAATATTGCTTGTAGAAGCAAGGTTCTGAATTAATGCACAGCAAGATGCCATAACTTTCTCCATTATCATGAAAATACTTTGGAATTAAATTATTGGAAGAACCTTCAGCTAATAAAGGGTAATTATTTAGAGAGTTGAACCCAGGTTGTAATTCAGAGGTTTTCCCTGTGAAATGAGAATGTTATTATTTTCTTGCTTTCATTCTTTGTTTACCTTATGTAAAATACACATTAAACATCTACAAAGCAGGATTACATGGTTCTATCTTTTTTGATTAAACACCTGTCACACAAATGACCTTACTTCAAGAAATGTGAAATACTTTTTTTGCAAAGCAAAGTCAATATCTGCAAAAACTATTGCAAAAGAATTTTCCAAAATAATCTGAGTCTCTGTGTAAATAATGATAATTATTTACAAACCATTGTGAAATTTAGAATGTATCAGGCACAGCATTGCCAGCTGGTCGAGGGAGGTGATTGTTCTGCTGTGCTCTGTGCTGGCACAGCCTCACCTTGAGTCCTGTGTGCCAAATTATAAGAAAGACATAAAGCTGTTACAGAGAGTTCAGAGGGGAATGTGAGGATGGTGAAAGGTCTAGAGGTGAAGTTGAATAAGCAGCAGCTGAGGTCACTTGGTCTGTTCAGCCTACAGAAGAGGAGACTGAGGGGAGACCTCACTGCAGTTACAGCTTCCTCATGAAGGGAAGAGGAGGGGCAGGCACTGATCTCTTTTCTGTGGTGACCAGTGACAAGACCCTATAAGCAGCAGCTGAGATCACTTGGTCTGTTCAGCCTGCAGAAGAGGAGACTGAGGGGAGACCTCACTGCAGTTACAGCTTCCTCATGAAGGGAAGAGGAGGGGCAGGCACTGATCTCTTTTCTGTGGTGACCAGTGACAAGACCCAAGGAAATGGTGAGATGCTGAATCAGGGGAGGTTCAGTTTGGATATCAGGAAAAGTTTTTTTACCCAGAGGGTGTTTGAGCACTGGAACAGCCTCCCCAGCAAAGTGGTGACATTACCAAGCCTGACAGAGTTCAAGTGTTTGGAAAATGCTCTCAGGAACATGGTGTGTTGCTTAGGGTGCTGCTGTGCAGGACCAGGAGTTGGACTCAATGATCCTTGAGAATCCCTTTGAACTCAGCATATTCTGTGATTCCAAGATTCATGATGACAATGCTGCTTTAATGAAAAATGGTTCAATACTATTTGCATTGTCTCTATAAGAAAATGAAATCCTGATTTTGAAAGTCAATTCTTAAAAGCGCTGAACAACCCACACCAGCTTTCTGTGGTTTCATTCACCTGGTTTCTGTTCTTGCAAACTTCTCCATTTCAGATAACATTTCCCATATTTGCTGCAGTTAATGGGTCTTCTGAGGTTGGATATGTCTTCAACTATTCCCATCTATTTCATAAAGCCTACAATTATGGCTATAGCTCATTTTTAAAACTCATCAGTTCTTTGAAAGAATTTTGAACCTCTACTAATCAGTAAATGTAGCAAAAAAATTGGTACATTACCTTTACACAGAGAAAAGAATGTCAAATATGATAACTTGGACCAATTTAATTTCACCTTTTATAAAATCTTTTATGAAATGCTATTCCATTGTTGCTTCCACTTATTTCTCCACTAACATGACCCCTTTTCTATCCTCAATCTTTCTTTTATGCTGCTGCTTCTCACCTCCTTTCAGATTTCTACTGTTGAGTTTTTTCTGGGTTTTTGTT